GAGGACTTGTATTTGTTATGTGTAGATACGGAAGTGTCCATTTTCAGCTACAATTTAAAAGGAATGAAATACCTCATTTTATCTGAGGTAGAGTAATACAAAGTAACTTGATTGTGACTCACACTGACAGACAATAGATTGGAAACTTACAGCGCTCACAGAACCTTTCGTGCCAACACTCACTAATGTTTACACAAAACGGACTATACAGAGTGCGAAGCATTTTTTAAAAGTCATCCATTACAGACAATAATGCTATAATGGGCACTTTATGATTTGAGACAATTTTGGCAACGGATGCTAAGCTCACAAGCCACAATGCACCCAGAATATTCATCTATCATGCGAGGTGGAGTGAGGTAGGGTAGGGGTTAAGTGGGGGGGGGAAAGGACAGATAGGAGAAAAAGGTTAGGAGGAAGGCAAGGGGTTGGAGTGAAGAGGAGAGAGCTAGGGTGGGGTTGTAGCAAGGGTTTGTGGAATGGAAGGATGGATACTGGGAAAGTATGCACAGATATCTCAGCACCCCCGAGAAATCTAAGAAAGGATCTACACAGCAATTAAGAATGAAAAAGTTAGAGCAATGTGGTTGGGATTGAAGCACGGAAGACACATTTTACATCAAAATATTTACCACTAGAAAACTGAATACCACTAAAATTCACCTGGAACCTGGACATGTGTTATTGGCACAATGTGATAAACAATAACCTTGTTTTAACCTGTAAGAAACAGTCTGTTCTTTCAAGTCTGTTCTTCTGACCTGCTGTGAATGGGACAGGCAAATTAAGGGTCTCTTTTTACTCCATTCCTTGATGTGCGCAAGCGCATTCAACTGCTTCAACTTAACTTGTACAAAGCACCATTCGTTATAATGGAATTTTATGTCCTAAACTATCAAACTTGTTTGTGTTTCTTGTGTGCGTCTCAAGCAGTCAGAAGCCTCAAGCTGCATTCAACTTACTTAGCTGCGACTTACAACAATACGTATGCCTGTGGAAGTCGCATGTTTGCGGCTTCAGCTGTTTCCAATAACATGCATTGCCGTTAGCCACAGCCAAATACTTTAATCACAGCACACCTTTTCTCCTCATGGCTTCCTGTACATCAACTTGGGTACCTGATTAAATACTACAGTTGGGTGCCTACTTCCTTACATTAATACAACACTGAGTCCGAGTGTAGATACCAGACGCCAGATCTACAAGTCTGGCACCCTTGCTTACTTGTCATTGTTTCGGGCATCTCTCATCTGGACACCAGACTCTGGATTACTTGCTGTGGCTCCCTTAGCATAGAAGCGGTCTTGGTCCATCAATTCCCGTTTGAAGGCATCCTCCAATTCCTTTAGCAAAAAGGACAGGAGGAAAATTAATGTCAGACTTTTGAAAAGTACTCATTTCAACTTTTATAGAACAGATGGAAAGATGTACCTAGAAGAATAAAACAAAATGCTCATAAGAAACTTTTTGAGATGAGTATAATTATGCCCTCAATTGACATCTCCATCGTAAAAATCATGTCTCAACATGCTGTTTTTATTTTTCATTTCAAATGGCCAGCACACGATCTCACACTTGTTCACCTACCCCCTGTGATACTTCGGTATTAAGCAATCTTAACACTAAAGACTAGCAACAGTCCTGAATCTTCCTCTTTCTTCTTCAGCCCCGTACTAGTGTCGTAAGAATTTGCCAAGTATGGAATGTCAATGTTTTAATTTTTATTAATTTTATGGTTATTTGTATAATTTATTTGCACATTATTTAATTCAGAGATTTTATCTATTTCTCATGGATGCCTGTTAGTGGCAGATAACCGCTGTTGGTCATCAGAAATAAATAAATAAATAAATCTTCCAAAATCCTCTCCATATATGATGGCCAAAGCGCGAAATACCAGGAGTTAAACTGCTTTCATTTCTGCGTCATTACAACACTCCAACGTGCTTTTAGACTTCAAAGGGGCAAAGCGAACAGGAGTGAGAGGGAAAGGATTCCCAGGGTAAGGGATGAGGATGTTGTCTTACCTTCTTACGGGGTCTGAGGTTATCCTTCCATTGTTTGATCTCTTTGATGTGATCTTCCTCCTTGCCTTTCAGCTTCGATGTCTCCTGCTCCATCAACTGCTTCCGTTTCTCATTCTAGATCCACCAGTTCAAAACAATAATGATTTCTACCATCAGTGCAATGCAGCAAATACAGGGATTGAAGTTCACTTATTTTACAAAGCATTTGATAATTTTGGAACAGTGTATATAAAAGAGGGACAGGTGCGAGACAAAATAAAATCAACTGGAGCACATATCTAAGCAGATCAGCAAAAGAAACAGTCACACTACAAATACATGCTCACAATTTTGACGAGGGGGATAAAAACGTAACCAGAGTGCTGACAGAGCAAGGGTAGGACCAAATGTCAAGAAAGGGTAGTTTGAGATCATTTAATTTTCAGTAACCTGTTCAATTGACCTGGTCAGGGATTGTTTTATTTAATGTGGGGTTTTAGTTTTCTCTTGAAGTATAAAAGCTGACGCTTTTTTAAATCCAAACAGAAGGATCTATCACTCTGGACAGATGATGACTTACATGAATAGTCAGCACCTCTTGCATAGCGGCACTATGGCCTTGACGGAGACTCTCAAACTGACGACGATGCTTGCGATCTTGCCTCTCAAGCTCTGCCTTGTAACGCTTACTCTCTGACTCTTGGAACTGTTTGTAAGACAGGGAATCATTGATAAACACTACATCTTCCTTTTCCTTTGTTTCTACTTGTCCATTCAAGGTCGCTTCATTTTATAATTTGCTGCAAAACTGACCTCGCAATTTTGATAACGTGATTCTTAGCATTTTAATAAGACTTGGAGGTTAGAGTAATTTTCTCAAAAACTATCTGAATCCACGAACAACATTGAATGATCTTCTAGCAAGCATTTACATAAGGTCAAACAAAAAATAACGAAATAAAAGGAAAAAGAAACAACTTTTGATAAAATAAAGCATGCTCCCCATGCAGGATAACAAAAAGTAAACGGGATACACTGTTTCAACATTTGTGAACATTGATCAATTTAGCTACAGCAGTTTCACCAAAAAATGAAGCAGTTACTGGATCTTTGACGAAACATAAAATTAAAAATGTTGCGGAGTGGCCCCTTCCCCATGCTGACATTCACCGGGTAAATAAAACACGATAAACAACCAGCGAAGCAAATATTTTCTAAATCTAGAAATTGATCTGAGCATGAGCAGGAGGTAAAAATGGGCTTAGAGTATCCTTCAGAAATAATGATTCAAATGTTTGTTACATTGGGGCTCTAATAATGTCAAGCTTCCGTAGTGTGTCAACCTATGAGCTAGGAATGAGTTGAACAGGGGATCTAGACTTCCTACCAAACTGATGCCAAATCAACATGCTGACTATACAGTACCGAAGTGTGATGTCATTTTGAACCAGGAACATTCCAATAACATTCCTCACATATGGATTAGAAAGAAGTGACACTGACTTGATCTCGGCTTCACCTGACCGACCAAATGACGAACAACTTGTTAAACTGACCAACAACCAACCAGGATCATTTCCTAGACTGACAAACAACCAACCAGGAATCGTTTCCTAGCCCGACCAACAACCATCCAGGGATCGTTTCCTAGACTGACCAACAACCAACCAGGGATCATTTCCTAGACTGACCAACAACCGATCAGGGATCGTTTCCTAGACTGACCAACAACCAATCAGGGATCATTTCCTCGACTGACCAACAACCAACCAGGGATCGTTTCCTAGACTGACCAACAACCAATCAGAGATCGTTTCCTAGACTGACCAACCAATCAGGGATCGTTTCCTAGACTGACCAACAACCAATCAGGGATCGTTTCCTCACCCCCCTCATTTTCTCACGCTCCTCATCTGCCGTGCAGTTGGGATTTTTGATGGCGAGGCTCTTGCGGAACATGTTAGCACGTGTCTTCATCTCGTTGCGTAGATTCCGTGGCAACCGTCGTTTCTCCTGGATATGTCTCTGCTTCATGTCCTCCTCCTCTTTCTCTTGCATAGATTTCAGGATTTGCAACTCCTGCCAAAAAACAAATAAACTTATCACCGCTTACTACTCCTTTTGCGTCAATACCACTTAGCATCCCAGGAGTCTCTCTGGTTCATTGCATAATCATTTCCAAATTATCACACAGTTCAAAACTGTCCAACAAATAACAAAACTTAATTGAAGCGAAGGCATATCTGAAACAAACTCTAGTTGGCAAAATCTTTGGAAGAGGTGAAGTGTTGAAATGACCGACCTTCTCTTGTCTGATGACAAGGTGGTGTCTCTGTAAGAAAAACATGTCCTTCATCTGTGTCTTGGTGGCTTGGTGCATCTCCTTCAGATGCCGCTCCTCTAACTCCCAAATGGCCGACTCCCTCGCTGCGTGAGAAAAATGGCAAGATGTGTAAAGCGCCCTCTATCTAGCAAACCATGCCGAGGTGCTGTATTATCATTATCCCTGCACATTGGGCTCACACATCATCTGAACATTCCTGAAACCATCTCAGCTCCCTGGGGAGTGTACATGTACTAGCCAGGTGCTGCCATTTTGGCACAAACGGCTAAACTGCCGTATCTGCCCTCACAGGTACCTACTTACTCCTGGGTAGAGAGAGGCACATAGGAGTAAAGTGACTTGCCCAGGATCACAACAAGCTGCCACCAGCTGGATTCGAACCCCTGACCCTATGATCAGAAGCTATAAACCCTAACCACTAGGCTACATGCCACATGTAAAGAAAGCCTACCTGTAATTGCAGCTGGACGGCAGTCTTAAAGCGAGTGCATTCCCTGAGAGCTACAATTATGAAAACAGACACAGGCAGAGACTGGCTATTTGAAAAACACAAGAGAACTTTTCAATTCACCTCTGAGTTTTTGGTGTTTATCGTTCAGGAATTTCCTCTCCAGCATGGCTACTTTGTTGCGGTGCTGCTCCGACAGTTCTGTGCTAAGCCTCTCCAGTTCAGAGGCTTGCTCTGACATGAACTTATGTTCTTCCTGCTGTTGCCGAACCTGAAACAAAGAAAGTAATACATATCAATAGAAACAGGCACTGGGGGGGTCTTCTCAACCAGACTGGTAATAGACTTTAAATCATCCTAGACATTTCTCTTGGAACTGTAAACAAATCTACTGCTTCAAGCGCGTACAATTCAAAAACAATGAATTCAGATCTTTGAAATGGCTGTGTTTCAATGTTACGGCTTTCTCAAGAACACATGCGACAACAGAAGGTTCCAATTAGTGGATGTGGTCACTTCTCATTGCAACATGTACTACTCCATACTCAGCTGGCTGATTTGGACATGGTCTCCTTGGTGCCACATCTTCCCAGAATTCTTTGGGCCAGCCATCTTGAGGGTCAGGCCGAGTTCTATGTTTTGTGGACATTATAGTAGTTACGAGCAACAAGGTCCACTTCCACCACAGCTTGGAATCAATGACAGTGAATTAATCAATAATTGTGAAAGATGTATAATTTGTAATTGATCTGCTAAATTTAGAGTATTAAAAGTAAGAAGGTCAATACTCAAATCATTGTGACTCCTTTCAAAGAGTAAATCTTGCTTACGTCAAACTCCTCTTTCTTGCGTTTGAGATCCTCCTTGGAGCCTCCTCGGATGGACCTCATCTCCTTCATCTCTCTTTTCTGCTTCTCCCTGAAGCTCCTCAGGTCCTTCTCTTGTTTCATCTTGTGCATGCGAAGGAAGTTCTTGGCCTCATTGGTCTGTGCTAACTCCAGCTTCTCCACCTCATGTTTCTGCTGTCTGTTCAGCATTTCCACCTCGTTGTCGTATTTCTTGGTCAACGACTGACAAACGAAATCCCAGAATTGCACCAATTTAGATCATGCATCTTGCCAACAAAATCAAGGATGGGTACATCAGCACAGGGCACTCAACATAGCTATCAACACCCGAGTACTTCTGTATACCTGTTAATCTGTGACAGCGCAGCACACTGAACACGTTCAAGTACTATTCCGTCTAGTGAAGGGGCAAATACTATAGACTTCTGCTCAAGTCAAAAGTTGAACCAAATGTAACTTAGACATATCTTTTTTTTTTACACAACATCACAATATAGATGAGAAATGACAGCGTTAAATGTCAAACAGGTTACCCCATTTCCCCCCTACCAATTATCCTGACAACATTTCGTCTGTTTCTGACTGACACTCTTACCCCTAACTCATTCTTGTGTTTGCTCTTGAGAACATCTGACTGCTGGAGGATGCGGCTGGCTAGCTGATTACTCTCCTTGGTTTCACCCTTATGGAGAAGTTTCAACTGTCTCATCTCAGCCTTTCTGCTCAAGCAAAGAGAAAAATGGCCATAAATGACCAAAATGCTTACAACAAAATAAATAATAAAAAATTACAGCACAATTTCTATTACAAGATTTTAAGGTGGTTTTTCATACAGCCTAGGGTTAGGGTTAACCAAACTTACAATCTATAATCAAGGCATGGTAAATCTTTTTGTTTAAGTGTGGAATGCAGGAATGATTGATTAGTTAATTCTCTAACCATGCACCTGTTCTCATACTGCTGTGATTAATCAATTCTCTAAGTACGCACCTATTTTCATGCTGTTGTTTGGATTTGTCCTCAGACCCTTCTCTGACAACCTTAGATGTCGTCAACGTTACCACCTTGCCATCTAACACAAACTTACGGGTCTTCTTTAGCGTCTTGTAGTTTGGTTTCTCCTGCAGAAAATTTTGACAGTGAAAAACAAATTAACTCTCATTCAAAACAGGGTGGAACAGTTCAATCCAATTTTTTATTAGATATTGCTGGAAATAAGGGTGTTTCTTCTACTTTCCACATTTCAAACAGGCCACTGAACTGTCATCTTAGCATAAGTCAATGAGGTCTCTTTTCCATTTCTTTTCAGATCTTGAGTATGAGGTGCAACTAAAGTACTTCACCGGTCTACTTTTTATGAACAAGTTATATTTGTTCCAAACCTCTTTCTTCCAACATGTTATACAACTGGCAAGGCAAGCATGTTGCAGTTGGCTTACTTGTTACAATTACTAAAGAGTCCGCACTTAAGGCCGATGGTTTAAAGGTTGACCTTCTAACTGAGTATTTGGTCAATACATCCACGTATATTTTCTGTAGTTGGAACAGCTATATCTGTACAATTGAAGGATGAAGCTTCTACACTGAGCTACTTTCAGTTGTGGAACCTACTCATGGTTGAATTGCACAATGACATTACAAATGGTTGTCATGAGGTGAATGAAATGAATACCATATGGCCCCTTCTCATTCAAACTCCATCTTGGAGTACTGTGGCAAAACCAGTGACCCTGATGCCAGGAGGAAATACAGGCAGGTTTATTTCTAGAGTCAAATCAAGCCTTAATTGAAATTTATTTAACTGATCTTGCCAAAAAAAAAAAAGCAATGTCACTACTTTTTTTCAAATTCTAGCATTAAAAAAATGTTCAACAAATGATTATATATAAATTCCATCAGTAAACACATAAGCCATCATTCTGTAACAAATATGAATAGATTTTCTGAGCTCCTAAATTGAAATTTGATTAAAGACAGCCAATCAGCAGAAGAAATATCTGAATGTTGTTAGTCTCATCAAGATGCTCAAAAGATCGTCTTTAAGATCTGTATATGTACCATACACATGCAACAACTTCCTGATTTTTTACAACTGACTTTCATGTTCACAACAAAAGTAGCATACAGAGAAATGAAACAGATATTCAAAAGAAAATACATCACTCCAGTCAAAGGACTACCAAAGGAAATTCACGCGTATTAAGTATTTCCTTCACAACCTGATCCAAAAGTAGGAAAAAATTCCTATCTGCTTTGTACGGTTTACTCAGAATTGCACAGTATTTTTTGAGAATGTCATTGATTTTAGTTGGGTATGTTATCAACAAGCTCAAAGACGTTCCCATTACACCGACTTCACAACCCTAGAGGTTTACAAAAGGAAGTACTCATGTGTACATTTGCTGGGGCTCTATCAGATTAGATCTGAAGGCAAATGGCCTTTGATGGCAGAAACACAATCTGCAGCTCAAACACATCCAGATTGTGTTCACAGCAATGTGTGTAGAGTACAGACACAGCTAGGACAGTGCAGTTCCTGTGAGCAATCACGGTGTAATACACTACTTGTATTGTATTTGTAAAGCTGACTGTGCAGATGTTTGCAATTGAGAGCAAATAGACACAGTCAGGTCAGAATTTTATTGTATACCTTGTATCTCTGACTAAACAGTTCAAGTGCACAGTGCATGGTCATAAATGTCTCGTGGCAAGTGATAAGAAATATAGAGTGCTTGGAGGGGACTGGTAAGACAGAAAGCACTTTATAAAAACAAGCGCTGTGAGGACAGCAATCCTGGTAATGGCATTACTACTCCTGGCATGCCTGGAAAGTGGAAAACAGAATGCAATAGTGCAAGCTTTCTTGTTTTCTACAGAGCATAAGCAACCAAATGGTTGACAGGAATTTACAATGTAAAAGGCATCACTCAATTTCACTCGAATTGTTCTCAATCATTTTGTTTTCAACAATCATCCGTATTAAATACCCCAAAAGTTTTCAAAGATCCATGTGCAGATAAGCACATGTAAGTTTCAGATTCATCTGAAAGTCATTTGTAATTTTTTGATCCTTTTTTTTGTGAAAAGGGGCTGTAGGACTAATCAAACAGAAATATTCTGAAGGGAGGACTCAACGCAGCAGCAAATGTGGACAGGATTACATATAGAATGTAAACTGAAAGCAGAAATTAAACTTTGGAACTAAGTCCAGAGTAAACAAATCTCATCAGTGCTTGGGTAGCATCAAGTACATCAAAACAAAAGGGTGCACTGTTAATGAAACAAAGAAAATGAACTCAACTAACAAAAGAACCCAATTTCAATCAGCAATCACCTATAGATATTTACCGTATAATTGATGAAAGAGTTGCTTGAATGAATGCGATTCATCTGAACTTTGAAATTTGTTCTCTGTTTATATGGATATGCTGAGGACCTTTATCAACCAACTGTTCAAACACTCTGTAAGTTCACCTTGACCTGGCCTACATGTAATTAATAACATGCTGAAAACAAGGTGCATGCATGCTCCCGAGTGCTGTTACCATTCACATCATTTATGACCAAAAGAGACACATGTATAACTGGCTTGTGTTTTGAGATTTAATACACCTATTGTGCCTATCGCTTCGTCAAACCCTATCCAAGTGAATTTTTTTTTTCAGTCCAGAATTCCAGGCTGAAAATCAAAGTAATTCCATTGTTGCTATAGCTGTTGATTCATATCAATGTTGACTTTCCATTGAGTCTCACATGAATTGACCAGCACAATGAAGCTCCATTCTTGAACAAGATTTTCATGAATACTTCCTATCAAGAACTTTTTTCTCTGTAAATTAAAACTAAAACAACACAGCAAAACGAAAAATCGGAGGAACACACCAAAAGAAGTGAAATGGAAAAAAAAAATACAATAATTCAAACATACAAACTCAGCAGAAAATAAATTCAACAAAACGAAAAACTTGCACTGCATGCAGACAGATGGACACAGATGTATTATGAAGCAGAGAGACAGTGCACACAAGTGGAAGACGTGCTAAGGCTCAATGACGTGACTTTGAGATGTCAGGCATGGATGCACAAGGTACAAATCATCTGTCTAACCTCTTTATTAGATATGCTTCTCTCCAAGTCGATGGCTGCCTCACTGCCAGCATCTGAGGACCCCCGGCTAGCAACGCTACCCTTGTTGTTGCCGAGGCTGACAGGTGTCTTGGGGGTCTTTGGTGAAGATTCCCCTGTGCTGAACAGCCCGCCATTCTTGAGGCTGTCCAGCTCTGCTTTCAGACCCTCCAGTTTAGGTTTTTCCGGTGGTTTGTGCGTTGCGCGATCAGTGAGGTCTCCTTCCTCATTAATTTCCTCCTTCGGCTGGACCTCGTTCTCATGAAAGACTTCATTATCTTGGTCCATGCCTCCCTTGTTTTTTACCTCTGAGACGGTTTCCACAACGGCCTGTGTTTCGTCCTTCTGCTCGGATGGCTCTTCCATTTTGAGCTCTGAAACCGTTTCCATGACGATCTTTGGTACCTCCTCTTGTTCTCCAGCCTCCTCTTCATGTGCACTCAGGATCTCATCCTCGTTCGCTTCCTTTCTAACTTCCTCGGATGTTTCAGCCTTTGCCTGAACCTCGACCTCACCCTCTTCCAAACCTCCTTCGATTACCCCCCTATTTTCCCTGTCTTTATTCAATTCGGCGGGTTTACCAAGAACCTCTTCATCTAGTTGAGTTGGTTCTTCAACTTTCTGAGACTCATTCTCAGATTGGAAATCTAGATCGTTAGATAGTGGCCCCACCTTATCTTTGTCTACAAGTTCACTGCCCTGAACTTCTTCATCTCTGAGCACATCAGTGATTTCCTTAGGTTTTACTTCATCCTCGACAGAGTCTGATACAAGTGTCCCGCCCCCTTCAACTGGTAACCCCTCCCTTACGGCTCGTTCCCCACCTTCAATGTCTGGTTCCCCATCCCCCCTGTCAGTATTGACAGTGTCACATACCACGTGCTGGTCATGTTCCAGTCCGTCTTCAGTGACTGTGCTGACTGAGCTAATCTTGCGATCATGAGCAGCACCATTTGGCTGAGAAAAAAAGTAACAAAATTGACCTATAATCTAAAGCTTTTAAATTTTCAATGATTAACTTGAACCCCAGTAAGTTTGGTAGTATTTTGATATTAAACGGATAATTTTCAATAAGTATACTTATTGTCCATAAGTTTTTAATAATTTGTCTTTAGAACTCCAAGCCCAAAGTTCTATACAGCCAAAACTTAGTGTTTTAGTCAATGTGTGAAAATTTGATCAGGACACTTTAACAATGCTCCCTTTGAATAAGTAAGCTTTAATGGGAATCATATAGTAATACTATCAGGCCTTGTTGATCTACGTGAACAAGATCTGGATTTGAACCAAGACCACACTGATTTCATGACAGGTGGCCACACCCACCTGTTCCCTGACTGGTGGGCTGAGAGGAGGCTTGACTGGTGGGGTCGGCTCGACGGGTGACTTCTTGACAGGCGTGGTTGGCTCACTGTTACTCATAGACAATGTGCTGATGTTGTTTGAGCTGGAAGGCGTGGTAGGTGTGCCTAATGAAGCCAGGATGTCTTCACTGTCTGTGCTATCAGCACCAATGGAAGAACGTCGCTCAATCTTGTGGAAAAGAGAGAAATGGCAAAAATATAGTTGTAAATTCCATGCAATAAAAATAATGCATAACTTCTAAATTGGACTTTTTCATGTTCTTTGAAGTAGTTACACTGTTCATGTTGTAGGCATTTAGGGAGAACAGATTACAATTGACAAAACCCTTATTCTCAACAAGGGCAATTTAATCTTTCAACTCTCAGAAAAAGTTCAGTATCCTTGATTTTAAGTGATTTTACATAATGAGCACAAGAGATGATCTGTTTTTAGAAACTTTTATAAATTGTGACATTAACAAATTTATTTAAAGATTTCTTTCTGATACTTACTGGTATTTGGTCCTCAGGCAACTCAAAAATCTCCTCAGTCACTTCTGCCTTGGCTTCACAGAGGAGGTCCCTAATTGGCTTGTTGTCAAGCACTTCAGCTAGCCAGGGATGCTTTGAACCAATAAGATACAGTGTTAAATAAAGGCAATATTTATCAAGTGGGATTCTTCCACTTCGATGGACAGATTTCTGGATCTCAGTAAAACTGGTTAAAATAAAAGAAAAGTCCCATTTTGGAGCCACGAGCCATGTAAATTTCATTCAGTTTGACTGCACAACAATTCCTAGCTCACAAATACATGCCCTTTACACACAAACCAAATTAATCATGAAAACAAGAGGATTTTGAAACTGAAACACCGAGCACCATCTTGATCAAGTTTGTCCTGCAAGCTAGCAGGTCTGCGTATGGGTCATTCCATGAGGTAGTGGCCAATTTGTCCATTGTTACATGGATTCTGTAAAAATGAATAGCTATTTCCCTGCACATGGATTCCAAATTGACAATGTTATACATCTAGCAAGGCTAATTACAGAGGGGTGTGTTATTTTTACAGAGTAAATGGTCTACTCTACAGGTCATGACAGGTGGTAAAAGCTACGAATGTAACAAGGAGACCGTCACAAACCTCAAGGAATGACCCACATCACATAAAAACATGTAAAGTGTTAGCTTTAAATAGCGCCATCTTTCACTCATGCTCAACGCAAAGAACTTCACATAAACCAGCAGCTAACCAGCATGCCTGTTGCAATCTTGTACGTACATTTGTCCTAAAGAAGAAATCTAGATGTTTTTAGGGGAGTTGGAATTCTCTTGATTTTTGCCTTTTGCCTCTGATCAAAGCATTGTTTTTATTTCATGAAACTACAAATATATTCTTACAGATAAATAAACTACATGTATCACGTCATGAATGTCATTTGGGGCACTTCCAACTTGAAACCCAAGATAGGTCGCGAGTATACAAGAACAGTTCCAATCTCTGAGTAATGCATTCCGTATTACTCAGCACAGGAAAGGTCAAGGCATGGAACTTGTCACAGCCAGTGAAGAAAATTACCTTGGACAGCTCTGTCGCAGTCGGTCTTGTCTCCGGATTCTTGTCCAGACAGAGTTTAATAAACTTGCTGAAATTCTTGGACCTGTTTAAAGAAGCACATATCTCAGGGAAATGATTATCTGACATGTGAACCTTATTATAGTTTATTGCTTACTTTAGATGGATGAATTTAACTTACTCATTTTTACTATAGGAACTTATGATTATGGTAAATTCTTTCATAAATATGGAACTGAAATGGTTGTAAAAATACACAGTTGTCATCAATTTGTAAAATAACTACAACATGATAAGATGTATCTCCTTCCTAAAAGAATGCAGATAACAAATAAGAATCCAATAATGTATATATTTACAACAGAATCAATGCTTTCCATGACACTTCGAAGCTAGTAAATGGGCCAAAATGGTGGAAAGGGGTCTGTCTGAGACTTACAATCACGAGAGTGCTGCAAGGATAAGGGGGAAGGAAATGAACACCTTGATGGGATCAGGGTCATGAGAAGAAGGTTCTTGTTAACCCTCAGCAAAAGGGGAGGGGGGAGCTTACCATCGTGAGGGTGCCAAGAGGGTGGGCGGGTCAGCCTTAGGAATCTTGATAAGAACCCTCATGGGGTGCAGGTCATGGTATGGGGGCTCTTGCTGGGCCAGTTCTATCAGAGTGATCCCTAAGGACCAGATGTCTGCCTTGTAGTCGTAGGGATTGTCCTTTAGGGTCTCACATATTACCACCTCCGGCGCCATCCAATATGGCGTCCCGATGAAGGAATCCCTCTTCTGTTTGGTCTTAGTGTTCCTGGCTGAAACTCCAAAGTCAGCTGTAAGGCAAGAGAGAATATGTGAATATAGTTTCTCAAGGTTTTCTTCATCTAAATTCTTGAGTAGATTTTTTTCCTCTTTCTACAAATTTAATAGACTTGCCACCAAAGACACACAGAGCAGTCCTTGTTCTCAGTATCCACAAATGTAAGCTAAGCTCTCGAACAGACGGTTATCATCACATGTAAATGTTGCTGCATTTCACAGGGTGCATGAGCGCAACTGTTTAACAATACCAATAATGGCCCACAACGCACCTAGTCTGATGTCTCCAGTCATGGTCAGCAGGATGTTGCCTGCTTTCAGATCTCGATGGATGACTTTCTTGCTGTGTAAGTAGTCCAACGCTTCCAGCATCTGCTTGCAAACCACCTGAATCTGACTCTCCGTCAGACCCTTCTCCAGCTCCAGCATGATATCATCCAGGGCTCCTCCCTCACAAAACTCTATCAGCATCTGTTGAGAAAAAGACAGAAAACATGTCCCATAGCCAATGCGGGACGCAAGATGACGCAAACTAATGAAATCTCAGTTCTAATCTGAGCATTTTTCTTGGCTACAGACACACTTAATGTATTACTTAAACACAAGCTCAGCATGAGGTCAACTCCAACTCTTCCTTTTGTCCCATGTACCTTAACCCTAACCCTCCTCAATCCTCCAAAATCCTTCGGGCGGTTTTGGAGGATTTTGGAGGATTGAGGATGGTTCCTGGTAAAAAAGCCTAGGGGGTTAGGGTTAATGAATGCAACATGATCAACACTGTGAATAAAGTTCACACAATCACTTTGAAATCAAACTAATCAAAATGGCTCACTACCACATTGGCTTCATTATTTAAGTGAATTTGAAGATTTCAATCTAAATTTATCAACTGTTAAGCTGCTACACGGATCTGCTTTATGTATCTAGCACCAATTGGCTTGCATGTAAAAGCCACAACCACTGTGTACTGAATTGCATTCTGTGAATATTAACATGTTGCCCTTATTAGAGATTAAAAGAAACTTTGATACAGAATTTTTATCCACAAACAACTACAATCTCCCTGATATTCTGTGAAAGAAAACCAACCCTTGAAAGCTTGGTTTAGCCCTGGAAATCCAAAGAAACTTACCCATAACTTGTTGCCATATAAGTATGTCTCGATCATCCCCACGATGTACTGATGTTTGCATTCTGATAAAATCTGAATCTCTACTAGGAAATCATCCAACTCTTCCTGGTCCTTGATCTCTATGACTTTGGCAGCTGCCAGAACACCAGAGTGTCTGTTCTTGGCCTGTTAACAAGGAGATATGGTCAAATATGAACTCATGTTCAACTCATTGCCACTTGCTAAATTGAAGAATGAGGCAAAGAAAAGTACTCCCTGCTCCAATTCCATTTCATTAAAACATTTCTGCTTTATTCTAGGGCTAACAATTCAAATAATTCACTATTTGAATATCTGACCTTCAATTCGATCGAACATTCAGTTGTACCGACTAGCAGATTGTTCAGGAACAAACCATATACAAAATTATAATCACTATAATAGCTTCCAATGTCTAGGAGTATGGCCAGCCATGATTTTGAAAGATTTAGAGATGAAGAGTACTTCTTGGCCTATTGAAAATTTCTTTAAAATTCCTTTTAAAACTTTTAATGAATAATTTACTTTTTGTAAGATTTCTGTGGCTTTTCATCTGAATCTGCTTGAAACAAGTCTCCATAGTGCAATTTTTCTCATTTAAAACAAAAGAGAATTCTCCCCTCCTCTTTAGGAATTTTGTATTCGAATACTTAAATTCAAAAAATCATACTTTAATATTTGATAATCGATGGAATATTCAGATATTTGGATATCGTGCACAGCAATATTTTATTTGGTTTTGCTAAAACGAAAGAGATTTATATTTATCAATTGTGAACTAAAAACCAGAAGAGCATCATTTGCTTGGGTATGTGCAACAGCAGTGTAACTTGGTTTGCTCTACATGTGTAAATTTGGCGTCTGACAGGTGACTTATTTCTGTCCATGTTATACACTAACCTGACCTGTGCAATTTGAAAAGCGATACACATGGTACCATTGAATTGACCTCACACTATTCTTATTTGGCTGGCAGGTAATTTGCATTACCTAATCACAAACTTACAAAATCATATGCAAGATGCAACATGGTTCCAGACTCTGACATCACTTGACACCCTGTGTACAAACCCTATGAGACTGGTTTGAAAATTTTGAGTGTTTTTGAAGTTACTGCTTCAGTACTATCTATACTTCTTTATAGTGGAACACCGCTATACCAAACATTCGGCTGTGCCAAACATCGTCCTTGTCTCCAAATAGTTTGTGCACAAAACCTACCGAACACTATGCAGTTGCCATTTGTAATTTCCAAACATCAACTTGATAAAACAGTCAGTGTTTTTTATGTTGGAAAGTGACAAGTGGCCATTATTTCCCCAAGGATTAGAAAGGAAAGCCACTAGTTGTTGAAGAGTTCATTGTAATTAACTAGCTGAGAAACTGGGTACATTGGTCCGCACTTGTTCAAAATCGTCTTCTAGTAATGGCCAGGGCACGCACAGTTAATCTGCCAATGGTATTGAATGGACACTGGTTTTGCGACTCCGTATGATCGGGTGCAGAAGATAATCACACGTGCACGGAGGCATTGCACTAACATTAGTCTAAAGAGGGCGCTGCTGATACACAAGCCACTGAGATTCGCCAAAGCATGCATCAGAGATCGATCCTGACCAGTAGCTTTACGACTTTTAGGATAAATTTAAAATCAATTTTGTAACTTAAGATTTAATAAATAACAAAAATAACAGATTTTTTTTTTTAACCTTAAACGTGAATGCAACGGCAAAACATCATAAAAACAGCGAACCACTGTATCACAAGACGGCGCACTTCAGTTAGACAAGAGAGGGTGCTATTAACATGGCAATGAAACATTTGGCAGTAAATTTCACTATACCGAACGACCGCTGTACCAACATTTAGCCTGGACCCCGTCATGTTCATTATAGCAGCATTCCACTGTACCAATACAATTGACTTTTTAAAGTATTTATCATTTTCTGATGGCTAACAAATCCCTGCAAGGTGAAATTAGTAATCTCCATAGTTGGAATTCTTACCACAAAAAGATCCTGTATTCCCTCATTGAAATGTCAATAAATTATCCATGATATTCACCTTATAAACTTTTCCAAAAGCTCCATCTCCCAGCTCAGAAAGAAGTTCCCACTCTCCCTCAGGATCTCTGTCTCGTATAATATTCTGGAACTTATCATCCTTCTTTTTGTCAGCCGTGGAGAATCGGAAAAATCTCTTCAATGCCGTTATGGACATGTTGCTGATTTTTAGAATGATTCAGTTATTAGATTTGATGGAACCATTCATCCGATTATAGACAGGCCTAACTGGATTTACGTAGTCCTTGCGAGCGAGTCATGCGACAGACACCATCAACATCAAAGAATTCAGATTGATATTCAATTGTACATGGACATGTTGTAGCCAAAGTGGTCAAAGTTCCCTGTTTATGTAGGCCTAAGTTTTTTCGGGCAATTGTTGGCTATTTCAAATTTAGCATGATTAGTAACAAACAAGTTACTCATGAAATGCAAAAATTAGTTGCAGCAAAAACTGCGTTCACTTGTTAAGTCATGTTCAATGTTTGTAGTTCTTCTAACAGCGGACAGTTTTAGCGAGACATATGCTGTACCAACTGCGTGGGCCAGATTTCCATGAAATTCCTGACGACATAAAGGAGGATGAGAACGGGATACGGTTTTCACAGCGCTGGCAGTGGCCAGTGGCACTGCTCCAGTCGTCGTGTCTGCCCCCTCTGACGTTAGCTCTGCTGGTCGTTCACAGGCTTAGCAGCGGGTCCACACATACAACAGGTTGTTAGCATATTATTCCACAAACCGTCACGATTTTCACTGATTTCCAATTGTTAAGACACTGTCGATTCACTTCCGGGAAGCCGTGATCACGGTGAAGATTGCCTTCACAGTATTATCTAGGCCAAGTTCCGTAAGTCACTCTTCGCTTCTCGCCATTTTGGAGAAAGTGAACCTAAACACTTCGCTGGTACCTGCCACTGAGATTCAATAGCGTGTTATTGCGGAGTTGAATTACGCCTGAGTTCCTGTCACGAGCAAATTTAGTATTGACTCTGATCTGCCTAGGCACCAGACTCACCTGGAACCGACGTCATGCTGGTGGGACCAGTGATCAAAGTTCACATCGGTTCACAGCCGCCACGCCTGTTGACGTCATGTAGCGTGTATATGTACTCATTTTAAACTTGAACCTGGTTTCCTGCCTTCCTTGAATGATTGACAAAACAGAATTCAGCTCAAAGATCATCAAACAGTGAATAAAATCTACCCCTGCTATTGAAACAGGAAGGTCCACCCTCTATTTCCCGGTTTTCTTTCCTGAACATTGAGAGAAGCAGGCCTTGGTGCTAACAAGGAAGTAATACAAAGTTATCAGCGAACAGTTCTCGTTGAATAAACATTCTTCGTGAAATAAAATGCCTTCAGTTTCATTCAAAGCACGCACAATATCATTCTCCGTTATTTATTTTGTCTCACAGTAACTTGAGAATAAGCGCACCTCAGAAATTTCACCCGATAATTACAAGCCCAATTTTCTTTTGAAAAGGTTAAAGTTATGGGTGTAACTATTCATTTTAGTTTTTATAAACCAAAGTGGTAATATTTAAAACGACATTTTTCATCTCCTGTTTGCACTTTTAAATGGGGTGAGGAAAAATAAGGCATCAGGGGCAAAACCAAATCGATCACAAAGGGCAACATACCTATCGGATTCGGGGGAATTAACCTGGCTTTTGAAGTTGAATTCGACTATAAAGAAACGCCACATTCCATTTTGGTCAGGTATTTTAACCTTCCAAACTCTGCAGCGCCAAGTAAAAACAAGCTACACACAAATTAATCACCATTTGATTCCTGAATTCCTTTCTATTGTTCCCGCCAAATACTTTAGTAATGACTACAAAAGCGACAGTGGTCATTGGCAATTCCTCTCAATTTCACGCATTTTAGCAACGCCCCAGCGGTTGTTCTCAAAGGATGTGACGTAAATGAAAGGGAACACAAAAGAGTTGGCATTGGTTCACTTCGGAAGGAAGCCAACTTCCAGGGGTGTGTCACTGAGGTCAAGGAGGTGTTGTCCCGAAAAAGGCAAAACACACAGCTTTTTTCTAGTACATTAAATCATTTATTTTATTTGACTTTCAGCTTACCCAGGATTACATTAACAGTTTAAGGAATGAAAAAATAATATTAAGCCATTGGGAGTGCATAAACAGGCAAAACTCCAAAATTTCTAAACTTCACAGGAGTTAGAACTCTCCCACATTACTGCTCAACATGAACACTGCAACTGTTAACACTGTCGTCTCAGTATCCGTAACCCAAAAAACAAAACAAAAAATCATCAGTATATCCAAGTCCACATTGGCGAGTGATGATGGACAGTAATAAGCAATACTACAGGAATATCTGAGCAAAACAGGCAGGAATTATCCTTTGTATTTTACAAACGAGTTTGTGTGAAACAATTGAACACGTAAACATTTTTTTGAAGGCAAATTAAGAAAGTTTCTGATAGCTGAAACCAAAAGTACATTCTGCAATGTTAATAGATATTACAGGTACATGTTCCTCAGAGCTACAATTTTTACTCACTAATACTAAAAGAAACAATTCAGAGGCTTTTAAAATTTCAATGACAAGTTCTCTGATTTTACCCTTGTGCTTCATAAAACAAAGTTCATGTTACATTACAGTAACATAATTATAATAAAGCTTAATGACAAGTACCTTGAAACAGCAAGAAAGGAAAAAAAATTTCATACATATGCCACATTGGACATATTCTCCAAACTGTGGCAACATTTTACCAAATCTGGTAACACTGTCAATGGGTCTGTGCTAGAACGATAGAGGGCGCTATGTGTCCTACATAAGAGATGCAAGGCCATGTGTTATATTTAGACAATACAGTCGTACCTTGTTAATAAGCGCACTGTCAATATAAGCTTCAGCTTACAAGGACATTGTCAGGTCCCAATCCTCGGGTTTTTTCATTATTTTCATTCCTGATAATACAAGGTTCCTGTTGTAACAAGGTAATTTGCAAGTCCAAAAGACCTCTTAGTAACAAGGTTCAACTGTATTTTTATTTTCTTATAGGGTGCTATAGCATTCAACAGACCAATGCAACAGTGTATGCAAGAAGCTCTAGACAAACAGCCTGTCTCCCTTATCCTTTCAAGATAATTAAGTGCAGTATTTTATATCAAGCCTATAAAGCCAACAAGGGTCTGCAAGTGTCCTGTTGGGGTCCACTTACTGACAAAGCTCTTGTATGTCGACTACTTCCTCACTGAAACCCCGTCAGAGATTTTTGTTTTGGAAGTTGACTGCCACTGAATAGATTACGAACACCAAAGGACGACTACACAAATTACAAGTCCCCATCAAAGTCGTTAATACAGTCTTTACATTTTCCCCCTCTTTGCATTTTGGTGATTTTTGTATCAGTGATTCTTGTTAGCTGTTCAGCGGAATTGTAAAGGGCTTATCCTGAGCCCGATACAATCCTTTCCAATCTCAGTGACCTGGGTGACCCGGCATATTGACCCCTTGAACTCTGGCATGTAGCAGGTTCCACTCAGTGGGCACTTCTCAACTGGTTTCCCCCTGGAATGCCAATGGTAAAATATAAAAATAATCAGGTACAGTTCCTCTGGAATAGGAAGGGCAACCAAAAAGCATAAACATTAAACAGGAACTTCTTTTAAAGTCATTACATCGGCTCAGAATCTAGCAGAGAATTGAAAATCTGCCTTAATACAGAAGATACGGGTAAGCAGGATACTTGCTGATAACCAGCCAAAGGTAGCATTTAGCTAGCCTGATTTTAGCTGGTAACCTGCAGAGCATGCTAGGCACATGTTTGCTTGGCAATATGAAGTGCAAGCTACTGTTTAGTTGAGGAAACAAAAATCAATGGACTCAAAAGTGAAACAGACAGATACCTGTAGATAGGCTTGTAGGTGGCACCACACACATCAAAAGGGTTGTGTTCATCGTAGTTCAGTTTGTGGGCATCAGTCAGATTCTTCTCACAAGCAACCAGGATCTTCCTTGTCTACAGTCAATCAACAGAAACAAATATATACAATATTCAACAAAAAAGCTTCAAGTGAGAGCAAAGTTTCTGTGGATATTTGGCTGGACACTGGCTCTGTCATCTTTTTGATTCCACACTTGCCTTTGACAACAAAACTGATCTAGATCCCTATGTTACAGCTGCAGCTGCACACAGATCTCCCAACTCCACGGAAGCCAATGGTTAGCAGAGACAGTCACTTTCCTATAGACAATCCTAGCTGTATAAGTTGAATTCAGGCATGGCTGTGAAAGCATTGTATCACTTGGCTCTTGAACGTAGGCCCTCCTTAGTTCTTGCACAAAGCTAACACAACAGCAAGAGTAGTCCAGTCGGTAAATTAGGCTTAAACAGGTGACCCTTTGTTTTGACGAAGATAGTTTGGGCCAGTTTGTGTTATGCATGGAGCTTCAACCAGTGAGGATGTAAGAACAACTATGCCTCCAGTTTGAGAATGAGTGTGACTGCTCTAACTTTTTAACTGACCTGAGTGGCAACATCCGGCTTGGGTCCAAGCTCCAGAAGTCGACGAGCGAAGGATGCAGCCGTCTTGAAGTTTTTAAGCTTAAAGAAGAGGTTGAGGGCAGTACGCAGCGTCAGGATCTGGTGAACAGGCTGCAGGTTGCAGTGAGTGAAATATGCTGCCAGCTACAAGGAAAACGATGAAAAAAAGTGGAAAGGTTAGCGATTCAGGTCTTCATAGGTCTTCGGGCTCAAATAACATATAATTCATATTAGTACACTTCCATGTTTATTCTAGTTTCAGAAATTAAGTATTATTTTTCTGTCTTCCGGAAACAAAATTCTCACAACACAGCGTGGACTACAAAATGAATTTGATTTGTTACGTAAATCTCTTACCTCGCAGTTCCTCTTCTGTTCGTCCAGAGTTCCTTTGGGCTGCTCCTTGCGAAAGATCTCCATGGACAGACCTAGGATGTACTCTCGGCAGATTGTAATCAGTTGTTGGGCCTGGTGGGAAGAGATGAAGAGCAGATGGGGTGGATGGCATTGTTATCCCATGAAATTGAAATGAGTATGACTCAAACAGAATCCTGCAAAAAGGTTTGCAGGTGTTGATGCCATGAAATCAATCAAAGCTACATCATTGCTTGCACCAATCAAAACCAAGACAAAAACGTACTGACAAAGGCCAACATGATAAAAGAATCAAAGTCTATGGCTGTAAGTAATGAGTTGAAACCTGTTGTAACAACAGGCAAGCTATCCACATACCTCAGCGATTTCCTGCTTGTTTTCGACCACCAGCAAGGGGACACTCAGTAAGATGCCTCTGAAGAGATCCACAGCCGGAGCAAACTTGCCCTGCATGGTCAGTTGGTAGGCGGCCTGTAGTCTCTGGACAAGATGGCTGAGCCTCAACCCAACGGCAGCTTGACCACCACGGGCCCCTGCATCCCTCCTGTTGGAGAACGGAAAAATTGGTAAGATAATAATGCTCACATGACATCCATTGTAAGCAAGGGAATGCTTCATATTTGTTAGACTGTCAAACAGCCTTGTTTAGTAATGGAACGGGATTTGACCATGAAATCTAAAAACAAACCATTTTCACATTTACACTGAGCTAGTTGGGAGCACAGCAGTATGTCTATGTACATTGTGCTCATTCTGATGAAAGTTGACAATGACATCAACTTACCAGTTGCGATGAGGGTAGCCCATTAGCGGAGGGAGGGCAGGCAGGCCAAGGTAGGCTGTTCGTGCTCTGGCATATGTCTGCATAAATAGCGTCTTATATGGAGTGAAGTCTACCACGCCAATTTGCTCATGCAAGAGCTGCAAGACAAAGATGAAGTGAGCTCTAAAAGACTGCCTCAAGCAGCAAACTGCACAATCTTGTGATTTAAGAACACCTTGATTTCTGTTCTACTGTATATTCAAATACTTGAACATTTCACAGGTTCTCCAAAAATATCCTCAGTTAAGTTATCTTACCCTTGTAGCAGTCTCAAAGGAGCCACCCAGTACGTGATCCACAGGCAAGGAAGAATTGTTGCACCAGACTTGAGTCTGACTGGTACCCTTCACTGGTGGAAGGAAATATCCCTCCTCTCCAGCGCCAGCCATGGGACCACCAGCAACCTCCTGGATTACAAAACACAACAAAGATTTGAAAATGCCTTACTTGCGTACACTGACATTTTGTGTATTATCAATGTGTTATGACCTGAGGGTCAAAAGTCGACTCACCAGGTCGGCGGGGAGCTCTAGGTCATCATCTCCTACATCCCAACCTCCTTCATCATCATCTCCACCTCCAATAGCAACATCTTCCCCAAACTCATCACCACCTTGAAGAAGCGAACAAGAAGACTATAACATAAGATTTGTATTCTCAATCACAAACTTTCTTTTCCGACGCGAAATCTCAAATTTTGACAGCATGAGAAAACAGCAATCTCATGAAATAGTTGCACCGTTGCAATTTTTTGAGCTGTGGTCATCTCCCAGTACACCCACTGGGATCAGATAGTCAGTATGTTAACCCCTTCACTCCGGGAGATGGCAAGAGCTGCAGCTTTGTGTGAGGATTAGCGCATATCACACATACAGTCAGTTCACCATGCAGCTGGTGGTTCAATGGGGCCTGCTGATGGACAAAGCCCTCCATTCAGGGTATACCACAGCCTAGCAGTCACGGTCAACAGAATCCCCACGCGAAGGGGTTAAACGAGCCCATTTACCCAATGCACAATGTCCTCATTCAATCTTGCTGAAGACAAAAACTACACCAATCTTTGACAACACACCCCAATACCGCCCTCAATGGATGTTGCGCCGGCCAGATAAGCATGGGAAAAAGAAACCTACCATCTAAGACCAGCTCTGCGTCATCACCCCATCCGCCATCTTCCTCCGCCTCCATTTCCACCTCAGCCGCCATGGAAGCTCCACCTTTCCCTCTGGACATGGCCCCTTCAAAGAACCCCTTAGACATGGTCAGGAGAGGCCAGTTGTCCTCTGATTGCATTATGGGAGGAGGGGGTTGCAGAAGAACAGCGTTGGGGTTCACCTCTGGAACCTGAAGGATAGAGATTTGACATTGAATCCTTTGCACAAACTTGACATAAACCATACAAAGACAAATGTACAAAAAAACTTCTGAGAGAGTAGATATTCCATCAATTATCTGTTCAAAACAGAATTTTTCATTGGTATCGATGCTAATTGTTTTTGGCCCTACAGGTGAAGCACCTGTAAGTTGTACTTTAGGCTCTAGCATCAATATTATGGCTTTGTTTAGACTACCAGTACTTACTCTCTCATCCTCATCAAATCCTTCTTTCAGTTCCTCAGCTTCCTCCGTCAAGCCGTGAGTGGCTGCAGTCAGATAGGCAAGAGCCTCTAAAGAACAAATAAACAGTCAAATCAGCAATTGTTCTTGCCTAGAAACAGTGGAAACACATTGCAAGTAACAGTGGCGCGCACTAAACCCTGCCGGCATTCTAAAGAAAGTAGACACTGAGAAGTTGAGATGTGACAAGTGTTTCATACAATGGAGGCACATATGATGTATACTGCAGCAGTACATTAGCAGCCTAGTAACTCAAAGTAAATTGCCTTGTCTAGCTAAGGTCCTGTACTTACTCTGTCCGCAGGTTTTGAGAATCTTGACCCTTTCACTGACGTCTCCAAGATACATGGCACACTGGTACTGACCACTGGTATCCTTACGTATCTCAGCTGTTAGGAAAATATGGATGAGAGAAATTGCAGAAGTTTGAGTGATCTCAATGATTTTATAATGATAATCTATGCTTTCTGACATGTGACTTCATATCCAACAGCTACATGGGCCCCGACGTCAAGACTCACCAATTTTCATCATCTTGCGCAGCTTCTCCAAGTTACCAGTTATCAGATACAGGAAGGATAGCTTGTCAAAGTTCTTGGTTCGCTGGTAGGCCATCTCCACCACCTGATGATTGCCTTGTAAGAGAGCTGCCTCTCCGAGCTTCTCCCAGCAATTCTTGTCATCCAGTGCCCTGGCGGCCTCTAAAGCGACCTCGATGTTGCCGCACTCCAAAGCCAGGGCAAAACGAGTCTTCTCCTCCTTGACAAAATGCAGGGCAACCTGGAATTCAACACGGGACAAGTTTCAATGATTATTAGTTGGTAAAAATCCCCCCCCCAAACAAGGAAGATAACGAGTCTTAAAGTCTCTCAGAGCTTGAAAGTAATAAACTGCAATATTTCAACAAGACAACTCATTTAATGAAAAACACACCAACATCTGTAATATCAAATGCTAATGCTTTTTCTCAGGAAGTTTAACCAGCTTTCTGGAACCAAAAGTTGTAAATCCACAGCTCAGATATGGAGGATCTTCACGGCTGAACATCTGGGGGAGAATCCTAACCTTAACCTGTGTCGTTTGTAAAGGATTATTGGATGAATTCTTTTTTTAAATCTCACCTCTGGGTATCCCTTCTTCTGTAGGTAAGCAATGATGGACTGGCCAACTAGTTTGGCAGTACGGACCATGTGAAGTACTTCATCGTACTTTCGGTGAATCAGGGCCAGCTTGAACTTGTACTCCGTCGGGTCAATGTTAAGGATACGAGGGCGACATTCACGGTCCAGGCAGTGCACATTCTGACCTTTGACCCGGGTGATGTAGATGGGAACATCGAGGGTACGGATAATGCCGTGGTCTCTGTAAATGGTTGAAAGGGAGATCGAGCGATTACATATTACAAGAAATCAAATGAATCATGGGTAGTTTATGAAATAAATGCTGCTGTAAGCGGTTCATAGTCAAGACCGATATGATGCAATTGCACCACAACCTTGGAGAAAAGATGCTCTTGTGAAACTGAATAGCGCCCTCTTTAGTATGGGATTAGGGCCAATAACGAGGATTCACAACTTGGCCAACTGGACCAGCCAGTGATCTCCCTGGTGCCTGTATGAGTGTAGGACCTACCCGTTACTGATGGCATATTTGATGTGGTTGCTGGTGGTGTAGATGAAGACACCACTCTCATCCCACGCCCCGCTCTTGACACGGATGTTCTCATGGATGGTGCAGAGGCTGTCTAGCTTACGATTGCAGATTCCAAGGGCTGAAAAAAAGGACGACAAATAAGATATTATGACTGAAGAGCATTCCGTCCTTTTATAGCAAATTTCTGTGTTAAGCTCTGTGAAATGAGCTATTGAAGGTGCATAAACACTACATCTTCAAGAGACAAAAACCCACTTACTATGTTTTCCCAACAGGGCCACGTGCGACATGTCAGCTGACCAGACGGCGTATCGTACCTTGGGTATGCGCACCGAACCCAATGAGCGTTTCTGCTGCACATCAAACATGGTGACGGTGTCATTGTCACGTAGCAGCAACATGCCAGTACCTGCATACATGATCTCGTCACAAGTTGGAGTCTGCACTTTCTTGGTTACTTCATTCTTCAGGTTTTTGATGATGACCTGGTAGATCAGAAAAGTTGCAAGTAGACAAAAGTATGGGTCAAACAAAGTTGAAATACAGAGCAAACTTAATGTTGCTGCTCTACCTTCTTTTGCAGCATTTTAAATAACAAGCTATCATTTAAACTAGATAGGTTTGCTATAGCACCATAGATATATGGGTAATTTTAATGTTTTTCATACCCTGTCATATCTGAGGTGTGATTTGTAAGTTCAGAACAAATTCTCTAATTTCCAAGAGCGATGAATTAATGCAAATTACCTGCCATCAAATAGTAAAAGCCTGAATTAAGTGATATGTCCATGTCACATGACACAGGTCAGGCGTAACAGGGACACAAACATGTCACACTTTTGGACCCCAAATTTATAGAATGACCCAGATCTGTTTTTGAGCATGTGAGGTTCTCAAAAGAACTGGTGGTACGTTTCACACAGCATGTTCTGTCAGTCGTCAGGAGACTGCCGCAAACCTATCCGGTGTACTTGCTACCTTCACCATGTAAAGCTTCAAATCTCAAGCTGTCATTCACTCACTGCATGGGTCCTGTCCATGACGGCAAACCGGTTCCTAGCAACCCAAATGGCAGTCAGGCCAGACGATCTCTTACCCTCAGGAGCTGGAAAGAGCAGAAAAACAGTAAAATCCGTATTATGTTTTGAAGGCTGGATAGTCATAGTGGTAGAACTGTAAAGAAGTTTGAAAGCGTGACTAACATACAGGTACATTAACCCTAACTCCCTAGGGTGCATGCAAAATCATACTAAAATTGGAGGATTCAGGACTGTTAGGGTTAACAATACATGCATCAAAATAGATTTCCTGTAACTTCTGTGCTTCAGGTCACAAGAATTTACAGCAAGAACGCAAAAAACTATCTGCAAGACTGTGTAGGCTCACTGAGGTTGTTAATGGGCAAGAATCGAGTTCAATCCTAAATAATTGACACAAATCAAGCAAGCATATGTTAGCTCTCATACACTGGCACCTTACTCAGCCTGCACCTGCTGAATTATTCAGTAGTAACTAAACAGCAACCATTCAAGCATGTGCAGACTACAACTCACCATCTGGGTTCTGCTTGTCGACATCCTTTGGGACCTGGTACAGATCGTAAGTGCTGTTGTCAATGTTGCTGGTCCGCTGGCAAAGAAAAAGACCATAATCATATTAAAAAATTATCTGCTGCTCCATGTACAAAATTATGCCTGCTGGGCACATCGATATTTGTGCACAAAACTAGGGAAAATTTAAAATTTTGCATGGCTTTTGTACAGCTATTTGAATGTCTGCGTCTGATTCTAAAACAACACCTCAACAAAGCCGATAAAAAACAAAAAGCACTATCAGAAAATGAGCATATCATTTTGCTCTGTGTAAACACCGCAAACGCATGCACCAATGCGTTGCAGATAATGTTGCCGTGACTTTAAATCGGATTTTAGCACTACCCAAAATGTGCTGCAGTTGGAGTACATAATTCAATATTCATTCTATCTGATTTCCATTGTTCTACCAGCACACACATGGATTCACAATGTCTGTGCCCAGGACGGCGTCAAACATTTCTCCATGTGGAGAATGATAAATTTGCACTCTAATTTTTTATAGAGCTCTATGACCATAACAGATTAGGGAAAAATTCTTTTAAAGAACATTTCATCTATTCAGTTTTTGTACTGCAAAAATAGTAAATTAGGCCTATTAATCCTCAATCCTTCACCTGTTGGAGGACTGAGGAGTGTTAGGGTTAACCCAAACATTGTTTCTGTTCTCGCTCTTTTCCTTCTTTTCTTGTTCTCATTCTTGATATTGTCGGTTAATCTGGTTGGTTATTGTTGGTTACTGTCCTCAAAAACTATATAAAAGTGCAGTGACATACTGTTAGAACTTTCTCAAAACATTAACCCCGTGTAACGTAAAAGTGGCTGGGTCCTAGCTTTATGAATCTTGTAAATCCTCCAGAAACATCGGGTGGATTAAATGGCCCACAATATCAGCTACCGGGGGGGAAGGGTACTACTTACAGTGCAAATGAGCACAGCATTCTCGGCAGGATTGTAGGCCATGCTGTAGACGGGACTCTTGCCGGGGGGGGGGGTACTTACAGTGCAAATGAGCACAGCNAGGCCATGCTGTAGACTGGACTCTTGCCGGGGGGGGGTACTTACAGTGCAAATGAGCACAGCATTCTCAGCAGGATTGTAGGCCATGCTGTAGACCGGACTCTTGCCGGGGGGGGGTACTTACAGTGCAAATGAGCACAGCATTCTCGGCAGGATTGTAGGCCATGCTGTAGACTGGACTCTTGCTGCCTCCCCTCAGCTGCATGATGGCTACGTCCTTGGAGGTGGTGAAGTCCAGCCTGCGAAGGTAACGCTCCTTGACGTAGAACAAGAGGTTGCCATGGGTGGCATAGGCAGGGCGTTCACGCTCCAACTTGAAGACGATCATGCCACTGTCATGTCCTGGTTTAAAGAATCAATACTTAAATGATCAAAGATGCCAACTTTATGAGGTGAGTAATACCGGTGTTGGTTGCAAATGCTGGCATATTGTGATCAGAATATGGATTATTGAAAAAATGTTTCATGTTCTTAATGCGCATATCATTTTTCCTGACGCCTGACTTACCTGCAGCAAAGAGATTAAGGGTTGGATGAGGTGTGATGACCCAGAAACGATCGTGATCCCGACGGAATGTTTGAAGGCACGTCCTGGTTTATAAATCAGAGAAAACAAAATGTTTAGAACTCAAAATTAGGGTGGCGTTAATTATATTATTCTCATCTAAAAGGTAAACTGGAAACTCAGGGATCCTTTTGATAAATGGAAACTGCTCAAGGTAATAAAATATTGACTTCTAAAACATCAATATGAATCCATTACAGGCAACAAAAGACACAAGACATCCAAGATACAAATTGAAACTTGGTACATGTATTTCATTTTTTTTATATGCAAACCTACTGCCTGACAGACAAGACTAGAAGCGTTACATGGTAGCGATAGACTAAAGACGGGGCTTGCAGTAACAGCGTATGGTGTATGAGGTATGGTTCTCTTCCAAAAGAGATCTATCCACATGGTGTTACCGCAAGCCTTCTCCTTACAACTGTCTTATAACTGCTTACCTCTTGGACATGTCCCAGACACGGATGCTCTTGTCTTCTGAGTTGCTCAAGATGAGCTCTTGACGGGGGTGAAATACCACGCAGGACACGTTGTTGTAGTGACCACGACAGGTGTCAACTTCCCAAGCCTTGGCATCTAAGTCAAGTAAACAACAGATGTTTACAAATAAATAAACCATGTTTAGCATCTAGGGGGAAAAAGAGTTCATATCAACTTAGTTTTGGCACCAGACTCCTACCGTTCATTCTCCAGAGCTTGACGTAACGGTCGTCAGCAGCTGACACAATCAAGGGCATTGTGGGATGGAAGCAGGCCCAGTTGACACCACGATCATGACCCTACCATGCAAACAAACAGGAGTTTGACATAGCTATTCAAGGCAATGAAACAGATTGAGGAACTTGACTTGTGATTGGAGGTGCGTGGTTTGAGTCCATTAGCAGCTCTTGGCTGCTACCTTTGACCTACATGTTCATCATGTCTAAGGGACTGAATGGAAGTTAAATGTGGTGGGAACCAGGAACAAATAAAAGTGTGAAGAAGTGACTCACTCACATCAGCCATCCTTTGTCAACTCTTACGTGTACTTTAGATTCTTTATAAAAATCAGTTTGCATGGATGATTTTCATTCAGACAGGTCTAAGCAGCACATGTTGTGAAACTTGTTGATAGCAGTCAACCTATTGTTTGAAAGCAGGTACACACCAAAGTGTCCTTCAACTCTTTATTGCATAGCTGTGCATCAAACTCAAGCCTGGGAGGTGAACCAAGCCTCTGCCAGAGGGGAACAGATTAACATATCATCACAGGTGCAAATGATGATTACCTCCAACACGTGTTTGACTACAACATCACCAGACATAAAGAGGTCAGGGGTCATGCTGGACTTGACATGTTCCTCAATTCCACCAGGCCCAGGGGCAACGTTCTTCTTCCGTAGAACTGCAATGGAGAGGGAGAGCCATAAATCTTGGTGAGATACGAGAGGATTCAAACCCAACTGTGTGACATTATCACTAAATTAACAAGGTACTGTCTGGAATTTAATTTGGTTACTGCAATCCTTGCCAATTATCTTCATCCAAATTTGGCTACAATGCTGGTCCCTGTTGCACTAGAATGAGCTTCAGACAGGCAAAGATCTGCTAGACCTTACACTAGCAGTAAAGCTTTTGAACACAGAGAGCGAAGGCAGCAAGATTTGGTAAGGTGACAAAGGGTCTGTCTAGAATTATACCAGAAGGATAGAATTGAAACAAGAAAATATGATTTCATGATAAAAAAACACTTTGTGATTAGTTTTTCTAACCTCCAATGTCCCAGACTCGAACAGTTTGATCCAGTGATGCTGATACAACAAGATCTTCACTGGGGTGGAAGTTGGCACACATAACATAATGGTTGTGCCCTGTCAATGTACTGTGAACAAACAAGAAGGGAATAAGTCAATTCGATTTTTCCTTATTCTGCATTTAAATTTGAGCAGGAAGCTTGCGAATACAGTAATAGCCACCATTTCTACCTCAAGCCCAAAGGGCTTACAGAGGAAAATGTAAGCAACATTTAAAGGGAAACCTGCAAATGTAGTAAAACCACTTTTTGCCTCAATCCGGAAGAAAAAATGTCATAAATCTTCCATAATCCATTAATTAGTTTAGCAATCTGTAAACAAATATAATAGCAAGAAGAAAGCCTTACAGTTACATTGGCTAGATTCTACAGTGCTTAATCCTTCGAGATCTAACAACTTCAGATGTTACATTTAGACCATTTGGGATTGAGGTTTCTTTGAAGATCTTTTACTGTGTCTTGTCTGGAGGACAGGGACTTGTGAATGGTAGCAAAAATTGGGGATTAAAATAAATCTGGAATGAGCTAAGACGACATACGCGATAGAGTTTCGTGACTGCCAGTTCCAGATTTTAATGGTTTGATCATCAGATGCACTCAGAATCCATGGATATTCCTGAAAAAAGTGTGTGAAAAGGAGATGAAATTCAACGAAAAGATGCATAAGGTGAAACATTTGATGGGTGTTTGATTCCTGTATATGATAACAAAGGAATTAACATGTATTTACTGACTGTAAGATAATCCAAAAGAAATTAATTTCATCAACTACTGATAAATTTGCGAAACTGATAAGCCTTAATGCCACACAATTGAATACTCTGAAGGATTTTTGTCCTATCTGTCTCAACCCTACGTGATGGAAGGAAGTTGTCCGGATGTAGTCCAAATGGCCAAGGAGAGTGAACAGACATCGCTTCAGCTTGTAGTTCCAGACTTTAATCTTGTAATCATCTCCGCCGGAGACAAAGAGAGGCTGCTGTTGATGGAATCCAATCCCGCGAACAGGACCTACAAATCAGACACCATCAACATTTCAGGGAATTATATGCCGTAGATTTTGGTTAATTTAAGGTAGTGTCTCTTGGCAACTTTCATTAGAAACTTCTTGAATCCTCCAAAATCTTCCATTGTTTGAAAAACCCAATGATACATCGTATATTGAAAGTGCTATCAGACCCGACATACTGACAGTTCTTTATCTTCCTTAAGCCTGCAAAATCTTTCCAAAAACCTGAGGGTGGATTTTGAAGGATCTAGGATTTTTTTGAAATGATGGTGTTATTAATTACCGTCATGTTCGTCAAATTTGTCCAGCATGGTACACATTCGGTAATCCCACAGCTGAATGGTTCCATTATGCAGACTGGTCAAGATCCAAGGACGGTTTGGGTGAAAGCAAAGGCCTGGAAGGAATCAGAGCAGAAAATTAATTAATCCACCTGCTCCATAGATTCTCCTAATATGTCACTGTCACCAAATGGCCTGTGTTCCTTTTTTGTGATGCATCAGAAGCAATTAGCTGATGCAAAAAAAGTTCTATTTATCTCCAACAGATTGAACACTTTGCAAATTTGACTTCTGAACCTTCAAAAATTTAAACTGCATGAAAATGCCTAGAAGGACTCTTTAAACATGAAATATGTCATGCATGCTGCAGGCTGCACTTATAGTAGGCTGCACTTGACTTAAGACACACAAATAATGATGCCAAATTCTTTATTATTTGCCAAAGAATTTCATAACAACAATTTCATCACTGACATTGTTGAATTTTCTTTTCACAGGCACATATTTTAATAACCATAATAAATTCTAGAACTGTTTGAAGTGAATTTGCCATTACTCAATACAGAAAGAGTTCCACATCTGAAAATCATTTTAACACCCTGTGCACAAACTCCATGACTATCTGGTCTAAAGAAATTCTAAATGTTTCCTATAAAGAGAATGCTTCTATATTTTCCCTGCTAAATTTGTCTTTTAAAGACATATGCGAAAAATAATTAGTGATGCTCATGAATGGAATTTTTCCCTACAAAGTCAATATCTCACCTTTGACCCTGGCTGACTTGGTTTCAAACTTGGTTAACATTTTGATCTGCGTTCTTTTTCTTCAAAACGGACGAAACTGGAAGCTGTACAAAAACAAAATTATTTCATCTGCAAAATATTAACTGATCTGAGATGTCTGACATGATTTTGATTCTCGTACCCTTTTGTGCACTCTAAATCATGACAAATAGGATACAAAACAGTGAAAGTCTAACGTCCATGACAAGTTAGTTGCCAGGTCCCTATTTCACCACTTAGGCCCAGACTTTACTGTGAAAAATAATTACACCTGGCAACTTTACCGACATGGACATTACTCCACATTAGAAGGGCTAATGTTGATCCACTGATGGCTGAGCACACTCTAAGAACTCTAAAGTCTTAACTGCCACACATGCCGCATCAAAGCTGTATTTCACTAGTCCAAGTAACTTGGACCTTAAATCACCCTTTTTAACATTTGGACATGGTCGGGTGATAGTAGGGTCCAAGTACCGCAGCAATGTCCAGTGTACAGTTTCGATGTGATCACAGCTACCGGACATACGGTGTTCAGCAATCAGTTGTCAGCGTGCGTGTGCCGACACGGCATACTTTTTGTGAATGGTCCGCTAGGCCAGTGCGCCACGACATCATTTCCAGAGATTTACATACAGTTCAAATCACTACACCATACATGTATTTGAAAAATATGGCAAAATCACGCTCGACGACAAGACCATTACCAATTTGAAGGGAAACTTTCTCTTTTTTTCCTAAATGTGAGTAAACCTTATCATCGTTATTGGATTCTCTGATTCTCACTTGATCATAAGGCAGATGCCTTAGACAGTTTAAGGATCCTTTTAGAGGTGAATTCGGAGGATTTTGATTTGGGGTATGAGTAGCCCTACTACTATAGTGTGGCACAGACTCTCACTACCACTCCATCCTTAGCCACACATCCGTATACGCAATTTGCATGTCGGCGTAGTGAAAAAGTTCGGCGCACCCTTTTATAATCGTAGGTGCAATTTTTTTTTGCAAACAGAAATGACCCTTAGCCTCTGTGCTTTCTTAGTGCCATTTATTGAATGATTTCACTCACGTTGTTTTGGTATTTTCCAGTCTTTTTGCCTTCACCATTCACTCTCACCGGCTCGCTCTCACAGTCACCATCTTTAAAATATGGTCAATGAACATTACGTCACTTGACCCCTCATCATCTCGACATCTGTTCCATGTCAAGACATATCTAAACTGCTGCCCAAGTTTTGGAAGAGTCCATTGGTACATGTAGTATCGGATGTGTGGCTAAGGATGGAGCGGGAGTGAGAGTCCGTGCCACACTAGTGGGGCTAACATAATTACATTCATTTCCTTGTTAAAATGGCTAATAAAGTAAATTAACAAAGCTGAATTCGACAGGAGTGGCTCAAAACATTGACTTCACTGTCTGTCTGCGCCTATCATGAAGGAATCAGTTCTGTACTCCCTCTTCTTTGAGCAAAGTTTAAGCATTGTTTAATCAAGAAGTTTTCACGAATTAGATTCAAATAGGAACAAGGCCATGATGAAGGTGGACATGATCGACGCGACGAACAGTCCAGCAGACGGTTGAATTATGGGACATGAAGTGTAGCTTAAAAATATAAATGCAGGTTTTTATAAAACACAGAGAATTTGAAATACCTCTTTTGATCTTTACTATCTATTTGGAAGAGGTGAAAGACACATTTTGAGACTTACCCGAGACAGAAGTTATCTATGGCTTCACGGCCACGTCACTTTCGCACACGTACGTACGAGTACCAACCACTGGTTCACTTGCAATATTAAGGGTATTTTGAATGCTCGCGCAGAGTACCAGTTAAGAAGGGAGTGATTTGGTATCCTGTCTGCATAGTGTTCTGCACGTACATGTTGTAATTGAGCAAAGACGGGACCAGGCAGTGGTTGTGGGCTCGGGGCGGGGGTTTACTTATTGAAGGGGTGCATTACAGTAATCCCTCAGTGTGCTATCAGAAATGGGTTGCTTCACAAAATGTGACCAACTCTGCAAAAAGTCCCTTAAGTCATGCTATGCCTCTGTATGCAACAGACCATTCCGCACATCTACCAAAGATCAATTCTAAATTTTACTGTATCTCGGGAATAGAATGTGTGACAGAGGTCAAAAATACACAAATGTAATAATTATTAAAATGCTTCTCTATCCGTGGGCATCACTTACAATCAAGTTGTCACACATAAGCTCAAAGGCCATTTTTGCAGAGACAGTCACCAATGTTTTGCAAAAGCTACAAGAATTTGCTTCATAACACGGTGTTCGTTGGCTTTAATAAATGCGAGCTCCGTTTCTTTTTGTGTTAGCACTAGAACAAGTTTTCATTCACCGGAAGCAATAAAAGTGCAAAGAAACACAATATTTACTACTTACTACAATCAAGATTGTAATAACTAAATATTACAAGGCAGCTTCATGGTCGTTTCAACTGAAGTTTCCTAGAAAATGATGTATTGTAGTTAGAGCGAAATTTTCAAAATGTTTTATTTGTAAAAACTAAATAATAAGTGTAGCAGTTACGGGCAAACATTCCTTGCATTGAGGTTTGCATCAAAGACAATTTGGAATGCACCTGCCATTAGCTCTGGTGTTAACAAATGTGACAAGATCGATATGAAGGAAACCCTGACGTGCTCAGCATGCCCGGGGGGTAACCATATGATAATTACCCGATACGAATCGAGCGTCGCGTGGTCAGAAATATCAAGCAATTTAAATGGATCTTTGCAAATTGTCTATAGTTGAGAAGGTACGCGATTTAATGACACTGAGTGCAAAACTGACAACCTTGTCTAATGTCACAAGGATGCAGGTATGGTATGCTGCAAGGGCGTCGGGGGGGGTTGCACGATTACAGAAACGCACGTCAGTTGCACAATGCAATTTGCATAGTGCATCGCAGACGTGCTACCTGTCGAAACAAATAATGATTAAAGCTTATGCTTCAACGGTAATGTGAATTTCGTGTGATAATGTCGGATCATATAACATGGCCTATGTAATGGACCCGACAGCACATGCGCAAAGCATGCAGCAGTCACCCAAGTAGACTCAGTGTAATTGTTGTCCGCCGTGTTTCCCCAATTCATCTTCGGTTCGATGAATGGGAAATCAACTCCAACACTCAGCGACTGTGTACGGAGTGAGAGCTTACTGACAATCTCTCAGACAAAATCAAGAGCATCAGAAAAACTGTTTCTTATTTGAATGGCGACGTTGGCCATGTTACAAATGAAATGGTCCACTTGCTGATGTGTAGATCGTATGCATACTAGGCCTATGCCCACGTGTATTGGCAAGTACAGTTGTGAATGATCCGGTCTGCCATTGGTAACAGCTAAGCATTGTGACAGAGACCAGCATATATAACAGAAGATGTTTTGGTCATGAACCGGCATTCGAAATGACACTGGACCATTTAGGAGATAGGATATATTTACATGTACAGCAGTACGCACAAAGCTGTACTTGCTTTTTCTTTTTCAATGCGTGAGTCGCACGAGGAACCTCAGGCACTGTCATCTTGCGCTAATCGAGGATTGGTTGCTGCTGAGTGGATGACGCGCGCACGTGGATGACTCTGCTAAACAGAAGAACTGTCTGCTGCATCATTGTGCAAGGAGCAACGAAGGAGTTACAGTTGCTGACCTCAAGGCGCCGTGGTAGGCAAGGAGCGAAGCAGGGGAAGTTGTGAGGTAGCGGCAGCGGGTGGTAATGATATTCTTAATTCAGGTGGGCAGCAAACCCCTCTGCAACGCACAAACAGAACAGGTTGCTGTATTATATATATATAAATTTTTAAGTACACTTTGATCTGGATTTGAGAAGCTAAAATTGCAAGGCGTATGATGAGAATTGAACTTATTCGGGGCCTGTGACTGTAACCAAGGATATCCTGGTCGAATCACAGAGGCGTCTTGTCCATCCTGCTCATACATTACGTTGCTTAGTTGCAAATTGTCAACAGTGAACATCTGTTTATGTTGACAATCGCGGGGTCAGCTGCCGAATGCGTGTGTCAGACGTCAGTGAGTTTGTGTCCTGCATATGTATTCAGAATAAAATAGATCAAATTTTAATTATAAATACAAAATTAGGATTTTAAAAAATCGGGTTCGGACGAAGTATGAGCACTTCTACCTTGTCAACCGGCCACAGATCTATGAAGTTCACGAAAACAACTGCCACCTCTTTGAAAGTCGACATGCCTACGTCTCGGGAACCTCGGGACTATCGGCGGATGGATAGTCGATCATATCGCTACTTTCGCCGCATCCAGCCGTTGCTATTCTGCCTTGCCGCGGTGGTTGCCCTGCTAGGTTACGCCTTCATCGGAGCGGCCATCTTCGTGTACCTAGAGGAACAGAACGAGATGGACAGCTATAAACTATTGATGGATACAAGGAGGGACTTCTTAAGCTTGGTCAATGCCAGCATCGAGGCAGCTGCCAACAGGACGTCAGTCACGTCAGTCCTGACGGTCTCCACCTCTAACGCCACCCTCAATGCCACCACGGCAACCCCTGATGTACTGCCAGCCCTTGAGGGGGTGAATTTCACTGAGATTGACGAAGAGCTCCAAAAGTACGAGAAATTGGTGAAGAAATTCAGAAACCTCGACCCCAGCGGGAAACCCATGTGGAACTACTTTGGTGCACTGTTCTTCTCAGCAACTGTGATCAGCACAATAGGTGAGTAATTGGTAATATTAAACCTTTTTTTCCGTACAAAAGCTGCCGATGGTTGAAACTGTTTCAAGCCAGCTTCACGCAATTTGAATCACTTTAGCCCAAATTGGCGTATTCAGAAATTGGATGTAGGGGGCGAAATCTGTTATTTTCCAAAGTATTTGTCCAAATTTTTCTTTTTTCTTCCGCGAAAAGAATCATCTTCTTCCCCAGGCAAATGGAAGTACAATTTCCAAAATGTGGGCATATTCAGTATTAAAAAGATAAATAAATAAAAAGTGGTAACATATCTTCAGGGAAGGCCCCTCCCCAGCCGGATACACCATTAGACGTTCACATGTCTTCGTAGAGTGCATGTGTGAATTCAGTTAGGTACATTCGATATTCACCAACAACATTCGACATTCGAATCTCTGGATATAAGGATGAATAAATTCCTAAAAAAATACTTTGTATTCGATGTTCACATTTGTGCATCGAATGTGTCTGTCGATTTACGACATTTACATAGGTATGTGTAGCGAATGTAGGTTAAGTTGGATATTTCACATTCAAATACCGTAGGTTTTTACGGCGAATGTCCTAATGTATTAGGAGAATACATGTATATGTATTTGATATTCACAGTGGTGTATCCAAGTCTTCAGTCCACGCTGCAAAATGCCCATTTTCCAAAAATGACGACCCGATTTTTCTGATTTGTAAAAAATCCTCATCCCCAGAGAAAGTTGATGCATGCACTATACAGTTTCTAATAAGCTGACACCTTTAGTTCCTAGAAATTAATGCAACACGTCGACAACAGGATCTAAAATGTTCGACCAACTGATTTTATGCACTGAAATGTTTTAGTAACTCTATACAGTACTAACCTTCTTTACTGCCTCATGTATGTTCTAGGCTACCATAAATATACTCATTTTTGTTTGCATGCTTACCTCGATCCCATACTGGGGGGAGGGGTTCAGGACCATTGCCCCGGCCCACCCCAAAGAGGAGCCCCAAAAATTGTTTGAAAACTAATGAGAGAGAGACGATGTGGGGACCTAGTTTATTTCCTTTCCTGGAGCCAAAGGATCTTTTAAAAAAGCCACCCAAATGTAACCTCAACCCTTCAGAGAAGGCCATAAAAGGTTATTTGAAACAGTTTAAATTTTTTTGCCCCTTCCCCTTGAAAAAATGAACCCCCTCTCGAATATTTGGTTCTTGGTCCATCCATATACCTTCCAATTCCCGGCCAAACATTTACGGACTTGGCTTAATACTGTTGCAATAGAGAGTCCTTTGTCAATCATGCGTCTTCACTACGTTTTGTACTTTGGTCGGGCTCGTTCCAGGCGCAATATTTTTGCTCCATTCATTTAAGAACGTGCCCTCGATATGCCCTCGGGCGTTGATTTAGTGAACAAGCACTGAATCGTGTTTGTGCATCCGTCAGTGGCGAAGATTATATCAGCGATGACAGCGAAAGTCGCCGGCGGAGAGAAACCTCCCTGCTGTTATTGATTGCATGCTGTTTATTCCCTATTATCACTCTGTTGGTCCAGTACAAAACACAACATATCAAAGTATTGCTGAAATCCATCTATTTTTTTCCTGGAAATCTGAAACAAAGGAACCCCAAAACGGAAAGAACTGCGATTCGTTTGACGATTTGGAAGAATTATGCAGTTGAAAGGTCAAATTAATGAGGGCGTCCTTCACGTTTTCCTTTGCTCTACATGTAAAAGATGAGGGGTGAAAATTCTACAAGTTCAGCGTGTAAAATGTTTACAAAGGTCATCTCACACCCCTTTATTTCAAATGAACGCTTCCTGGGAATTTTTTCCAAGTGCTAATTGATGGATTGATACAGAGTGACCGAGGAAGGAAAGATCGCATCAATGCCAGTTCAGATTTCTCCGTGATATGCTACATGTATGCTTAATCCTTGATGTCTGAGTTTACTTCGAGCATAACTATCCGCATGTCACTTCCAATTACAATCTCCTTGCTGTTCAGTTAATCCCTGGCTTTTCCCTTGAACTGAGTCCGTTACGTACGATTCAGAATGTCGACAAGAGCGCCAGCAAGTACTCTCCAGACACGTTT